ACGGTGAACTGAGGGGCAATGAATGAGAGGAAGCAGAGTCAAAACCCAAAAGCAAAAAAGAAACCCTACCTACATGTACTGTACACACCTGTTCATTCGTACCGTTACCTGAACCAAACAAACATCGAACAATCTTCATTTGGCTTAGCTGAACTGAGACTGGTGAGTAGGGAGATCTCACACATCACCGGGGAAACTCTTGCTTCCTCGTTTTAAGCGTTGAACCAGCGAAAAACCACACCGGCAGAATACAAAATGTCACATCCCATTAACTAGGAACAGCACTGTTGCTGGATGAGCACCGAGGCTCTCATTCCTATTTGTTCCTGTTGGATTCTCTTTGAAAACACGAGCTGCCGTCCCAAAAACACTCCGGCACACCATTGGAAAAATATAGATTTGACTCCAGGAAGCATTGCTCAATACGTGTTTTGTCCGTGGCTTGGTTACTGCGCCTTGTTCAGGCCTCACTGACTAAAAGCAATATCTGACGTTGGAGAACAAGGTTGCTTTACCACAGGGGCTTTACTTTAAGCCCAGTAAAGAGTCTGGGTTTGATTCAAAAGGATTTGTAGTCTACACCAGTAAAAAAATGATGGAAAAGATGGAAAGAAGCAGGGACAACTGGAACAAAGTCAAGAAGAAAGGGGAATGTTAAAAGGGGAAAAAGTGGCAATGAAGCGATGAAAGTCACTTCCTCCTGCTCCTGTCCCCTAAGCAAGCCTGTGATAAGTTCCCTCTGATAGCTGAAGAGGGCATGTTGTCAAGCCCCTCTGAGCTCAGAGACCCTGCTAAGACCGAGCCACTGCTGACAGAGTCAATGGGAGGCGGAGGAAAAATAACAAGGGGCGTCTGCCAAGCCTCCCCACTGCTTGCTCTCCCCGTCTCTCTTTCTCTGTCCCCCTGTTGCTGCCAGCCCAGTGGAAAAACTCCCTCTGGTCCAGACACAGTTATGAGAGAACGAAAGAGCAAGTGGGAGACGGATAAACACAGATCAAGGCAGACAGACAAGTGAATTAGAGAGTGACAGAGAGGGAAAAATAAATAAGTTAAGTTGCCAACATTTGAATACACATACAAACAGAATTAGAATAATAGAATACTGTTTTTTTGTTTTCCTCCTCCTCCGTCTGTCCTCTGCTCTGTTTTTTCAGGGCTTTTACAGAGCTGAGAGCCAAAACAATGTCCTTCAATACAAGGGCCTGATTAATAACGTGCTGCTCTGTCCACTCTGGAGGGCCATATGTTTGTGCAGATTCACTATCTGCCATATAGCTGACTGACTTCCACATATATCAGCTGTGTGTCCAGGCCAAGATGACTACTGGTGATGTGCAAACAAGTTTAGAGGGTATAAACACACAAGGCAAAGGAAAGTAAAGGGAGACGAGATGCAAATCTTTATGCATCTGCACGCAAAAATATGTTTCTGTCTTTTACTGTCTCTGTCTTTTTCATCTCCCCCTTTCTGCTGAAAAACAAATCCAGCCTATTAATCTTGAATGTTATGGTCCAGGCTCTGATTAAGACCAGGGCCTGTATTCTGTTTCCACCGCCCTTCACTGCAATTCTTCATTCAGTATATCAGCGGCACCAGTTAGCATGCCTTATAATCTGTGCACGTACAGTATGTGTGTGTGTGTATGGCTGTAATTACAGACATGGCAATCTGGCTGAAAAGAGCACTTTAAGAAAACACGCTCTTTGTTGGTGAAGCCATTAAAGGAGTGGCCTGTTTTCACACTCTTTCCTCTTTATGCGAAAGTACCTATGAAACAAAAGGCACAGATGGGTGGAAATTGTGTGTGTGTGTGTGTGTGTGTGTGTGTGTGTGTGTGTGTGTGTGTGTGTGTGAGAGATTTGAAGGTGTTTGGGTTCCAGGGAAGTAAAGGAATAAGTGGGCGTTTACTTTTTCTTGAGAATGAGTGGCATTCTCCTTCATTTCCTGCTAGCACGGCGTAAGACTAAGAGTAACAGAAGCCCATGTGCACTCTAATACACACATAAACACACATGCAGAAGCATATGCAAACGTGCACTAAAGGACTATTAGGGAGTACAAAGATACAAATATCACACACGTGCAAGTAACCCGTGAAAGGTCTGAGGACATTTTGAAAGTGATTTTGCATTCTTAAGGAAGACTACAGACAGGATGAGACTGATAATGACATAGAGATCTTTGAAAGTTCACTTGAAATGTGCTGTGACAACTTGTAGATGGTGAATTGAGAGATTTATCTAAATCATGATCAACAGTAGGAAGAGGAATAAGAAAGTACTTTGAATATTAATAATGATATATTATTTGATATTTAATGTAGAGATTTAGATCTGTGAGATGAAGAGTCATAATTATTCATAAATACAGATAAACGCTTTCTCTTCACTACAAGGTGCCATGTGTTTGTGCGACACTGGTATTCTGCCCCCTTGTGGCAACAAAGTGTGGACTATTTTACAAGCCAAAGAGGGTTGAGGAACAGAGAGGGCATCAAGGCAGAGACAGCTTCAATAAAACCCTTCACTTCTTTTTTGCCCAGATGAGAGTATGTATCCATTCTACCTGTGTGTCTTTGATGAAGCAAGAGTGAGAGATTCTGAGGGAAATACTGAGCTCAGAATCAGTAGTACAGTTAGGCGCCTGACTGGGAAAGGAGACATTTATAATGCCTCACACCTAAGGCGTTCAAGTACTCCTTTTCACTCTGTCTCTCTGTTGTGCTGCTTTAATCTCACCAAAATTCTTACAGATCTTCAGAGAAGAACTTGTTCTTTCACCTTGACATCAGAACAGGAATTATCCTCAGAGATTTAAAAAAAAGTCTTAGGAGTCCCAACTTCAACACGTTCTGGCCAATAAAGTAACTGCAGTGGGGCATGAGAGTCTGAGCGCTATATGAGCAGGCGGTTTGGCAACGGACAGCGAGAATGTGTTCATCTGTTTGAAATGTGTGCATGTGAGGAGTGTTAAATCCATGTAGGTGTTTGTATTGCACGGGGCATAAAGTATGCAGTGTGTGCTGCTGTGCATTCAGTGTGACTGTTGTTTGTGTATGGTTGGTCACGCTTCGGCACTTTGTATCAAAAGCCTGAATGGGCGGCTGGTTGGAGGCTTTTGGTTGTGGTTAAATAATGCACCGCACACACAAACACACTTGAAATCGCTTGTAACCACCAGTGACAAAGTAAGTGACCAGTCACCGCCCACTGGAGAACAGAGAATCCCAGTCAGTGGCATGGGGTTGCCATGGTTACAGCACAATGTTGCCATCATGTATGTGCCAAGCACGGAAAAACATGCCAAGGAAAAGACCAGTGTTGCCGGTAAAAGCAGAGAGGGGCATAAATCTCCCGACCTATAGGTATTTTAATAGAAACCAAGAGAGGGTGGGAAGACTGACTGGAAACCAGTAAATCTATAGGAGAGGCCATGAACTTTATGAGCAAATACTACTTTGAACAGTAAAGCAGACGCGCTGCTGCAAACCAGCAGCTTTGCAGACCTGAGAACTCCTGTTGTACCTCAGTGCCAGGGGGGAGAGTTCACGCTTTAGTGTGCATCTATTCACCCACTCCCCTTGAAGATTGTGTAACACACTTTGACACTCACACAGATTCAGTCACCTAGGAGCATGCATGTGTGGCCGCACGTGCACCAACACGCACACACATAGGTACATATCCAGTTGACTTTTCTCGCCGTAAGCCAGTGAAAAAGAGGGATGCTGCCAAATGTTTTTGGATTTCAGAACTCCAGAACACTGTCTTTTCCAGACTCTCCCCCCCTCTTTCTCTTTCTCTCACTCTACACCTCTCTCTCTCTGCGTCTCCCTCCTTCCTTTGCTAAGAAAGCCTGCTGTTGATGCACTGAAACACATGTGATCGAAAAATGTATCTCCTCAGCAAAGCATGCAGTTTGGAATCTTCTCTTTGTTTTTGCACATGTTTTATAAGCTTCACTAATGTGTTCCTCTTGGTCTTCTCCCTTTTCATTTTTGCTCATCTCTTTCTATCTCTCTGGCTCTCTGTTAGTTTGTCATGCGGGATACCTGAGGACTATTTCTCCCCTTTCTCTTTTGCGATGGAGGGATGTCGTTACAATGGAATGCAACGTCGCTTGCCAGAGGCGTCACAGTGGATGGACAGAGTGAAGCAACAGGGGGACGAAGAAAAGAGAAAAAGGAAAAATGATAGGACCATGTGTCCATTTGCAGTATTCCTTTACCAAGGTACATTCCACTCACAATAAACTTTAATAAACTCTTAGATTAATAAATCTATTAAAAAAAACTAGCAAACAAGATGCAGTCCATGGCAAAAGAACAGGGTATCAACTACATCCACATATACAAACACAAGATCTATCCACATGGAGGACGATAATCAGAATATGTGTTTCTGAGCCAAACCCATTGTACATATCCCACTACCACACTGCCCCACCCCTATACACACTCCAACTACACACCACGCCCACCTCGACATCATCAGCAAAAGTTCCAGACGTATACAGGGATGCATCAACAATGTCTTAGCCCTACACCTGAAGATTCACATACACAAGGCTGAATCCATGATCAATACCATCTCAAACTCATCAGGGCAAAACCACAGAAAATTTCCACTACAAAGAAAGTCTGGACCTTCAGAGTAGATCAGTATAGGGTCCACAGCTAAAACTTCAATATTGTAATCAGTGTCCATGCAGTATGTATGCCTGGGCTGGAGCTTGGTGAACAACTGTACTGGTTCTTCTTAATCTGCAAGCCATTACTCTGTGCACTAGCTTAGGACTGAGGAGAATTATGCTGGTCCCATGACTAAGATATTGCACCGTCTGTTTTTTATTTTTATTTTTTCTCCCTTCCTGTTCTCTCCTCCTGTTTGTTTTGGCCTCTGCCTCTGCAGCCACATGTGATAAAAGTGAAAAGACAAGAGATGACAGGACATGAGGACGTTAACAGAGCCAGAGAAACGAGAGGGCAGGTAGGGCTTACCTTTCTCTCCACAGAGCGTTGAGGGGCGGGAGGAGGGAGGGGGGGGCGCGCACTGGGTAAGGGCAGCGGTAGGTGTGAGCGTCAGGTGGGTCTCTCTTCTACCTCCCTCCTTGGTTCAGCCACGCGTGTCTCCCATGAGATGCGATGGCATCAGATATTCAATGAACATGCAGCCAAAAAAGAGGAGAGGTGTCCTCCTGGGCAAAGAGCTGGCACCCTGAATTGGTCCAGTGCTGCTCACAAGTGCAGGAAAAAATACACAACCAAAGTGTAAAAACTGAAGAAAAAAAGTCTGTTTAACTGTTATTCTTCTGCCTCCAGCAAAAGTCCATCCATGTGCTTTTTGGCAGAGATTACGAAAGCAAGAGAAAGGATGAAAGAGCAAGTGAGGGGAGAGTGAAAAATCTCCTCTGTGCCGTCTTCAAGCTGTCCAGACGCAGGTCTGAGGAGCACCTTCCCAATCTGTGCACACTCGCTCTCCAGGGTGGAAAGTAGGAGGGAAGGAGCGAGGGAGCAGGACAGAGAGGGAGAGAGAGGGAGTAACAGTGGAGTGAGATTCAGTCAGTCAGTCAAGTCAGTCAGGCAGTCAGGCAGGCAGCAAGGCAGTGTATATTGAGCTAAAGGCTGTGGGTCCAAGCAGGCTGAGCTCCCACTCCCAGGACTTATAACCAGGGGCTGTGCACCTCGTTCCTCCAATCTCCCTGGCTCACTCGGCGATCCCTCTCCCACTGGCTTATTTTGGGAAAGACAGACAGGATTGTTCATTGGGTTAAACCCCTTCATACAAAAAGCAAGTGTCTGTTGCTGGCCACACTGAGGAAGGAGGGGAGTGAGCAGGATGGGGTGGGGTAGCAGGCACGCAGAGAGGGGTGGGGTAGGATGAAGAGGAGGGAAGGGAATGAAAAAGAGAGGAGAAGAGGGGAATTCGGAGGCGTCGCTTGCTCATGTTCTGCCTCCCTCCATTCTCCTTCCCATACTTACCTTCCAAGAATTAGCTCTGCTCTTTATCCTTTTGCTATTCAAACATGCTCACAAACACACAAATCAAATTATCAAATCAAGCTTGACGTGTAGATACTGGAGTGAAATAAGCCAGAGATTTTAATCCCAAAGTCTCCGACAAAAACTCTCTTTTCTTGCCTTGTAGTTCCAATGGCCAATTAATAATCTCTATGCATGACATAACACTGGATAAGTGTAATACATAAAGGGGCATTGTGTTGTTGCCTAAAAACTGCTGCCATTTGTGTATAATCGTTACATGATAGCACTCTCTTGGGGTTAATCACCAAAGCACAGCAGTAAATGACATCGGTTCACATTTCGCTACTACAGCCCAGCTATTCATTGCTACAAGATGTATTACAAGTATCAAATAGACCTTACATTTAAAACGTGCCAAGCATTAGCCGGGAGAATGCATAAATTCTCATCAACATGGGTAATTGGAAATCATGTTTGGATGCTAGCTAACAACCTGGATGAACTACAGACGCTCCTTATTGTTCACCAGGTAACTTCCAACAAAGCAGAGGTTTACTAAGACAAGTACAGGCTTAGCATTCAGTGTTTAATTGGCACTGTGTTAGCTGGCCCTGTGCTATGGTAGTGGACCTTGAAGAGAAAGCTGCTCCGTGCTCCGTGATTGGACGAGCCAGAGGAAAGCTGGCCTAGCCTTTTCCTGAAAGACCGACTGGGACTAAGCCATGGGCTGAGTTAAAGATCAGATAGAGACTGTAGATCTTGAAACACTCCAGCGAGAGGAGAGAGAGAGAGAGAGGTAGAGAGAATTCTGAAAAAGCTATGTTAAAAATTTGTCCAACTTTTTTGTGGTTTTTATTCATCATTACGTTTGTGCCAGTTGGGACTGATTTATTAAAAGGCCTATCATTTCAGCAGCATCTGCTGATTCATTACTTCAATCACTGTTTAAATTCCAGCTAGTTATCAAAAGCTGGCAGTCCTGCTGCACGTCTCTCATTCATTTTTTGCTCATGAAGAGTAATAAACGTCCCCAGACTGTGTAATCTACCAACCATTAGAATCAATGTCAGCATTTCCTTGCATGAGAATTATAGGCAACCTTTCAACAAGGGCATATTTGGATAATGTTTATTATATTAAATGGGACCCGCTGTTTGAAGAGTGTCATTATGGCAAAATTTACGATGCAGATGGGGTTTTATGTGTTTTGTTTGCTCTATTTTGGCAAATCCCATCAATATCAAGATAGCAAAGTGATTAAACATGGAATGGGAGAACTGACTGAAGTTCTTTCTATTCAGAGAGGCTTGTACTGTACTCATGGAAGGTCATAAACTGGCCAATTGTTGATTGTGACACCAGAGTAAAAAGAGAAGTATTTTGTTCATGGCTGGAGCCGGCTAAATTGAATAATCACTAAAAAATAAGCAATAGGCGTCATGTCTGTGAAAGAGCCATGGTGCAGTTGAAGCCCACTGAATGGTTCTCTGAAACACGGAAAGGGTGGAGTGACCAGATGCCCAGCAATGATGTCATCAATAGGAGCCCTGTGTGGTAGTCAGGCCTGCCATTCATTCATCACCTCACCCCACCTCACCCTACCAGGTGTGTGTTTGTGCGTGAGCATGCGTGTGTTGCTGATCACACCCTACCACAAAAGAAATAGCTTTCTGTAGCTCAATGAGGCCAAAAAATGGTCAGTGGAGGCTCTCACACAAACCCGAGAAAGCCCCCCGCCTCATCCAGTCATGCTACGGTTCCACTGAAGAATTTCAGCCTCCAGCTCCTCAAAAATCTCAGCTCACCCTCTAATACTCTCACACAACACACATTCATTCTCACTTATACCCTTTGGTCAGCACACACCCCTTGAAAAATCCCCAAACCATTCATTTCTTCAGCACAGTACACAAGTCCCCTCCCACTCACTTGCTTTTACAAGGTGAAACATTCCCAGAGAAGAGGGAAAAAACACCTGGTGGTCATAAGTTTCTCTTTCTTCACTCCACTTTTCCCCTTCGCTCCATTCCATTAGTAAGAGTAAAAACAAACAGCGGCCGTTAACTCACTGGAAAACCGTTGCATTGCATCACGCAGACCTGCTTTGCCCTTGATGTTCGTCAAAACCCCAAAAATAAGCCTTGAAGGGCAGGTTGGCGTCACCGATACAACTCCACCCTACACCACACCCAGCGTCACCAAACATAGACCCACTATGCGTTAACGTATGGTGGTCTGTTCTACTCAAAGGTGGTGTGTTTAGGGTGGGGTGAGTTTGTTTGGGGGTTCATTGAGCATGTATGTTCCTTGAGTGGGTTTGAATGGTTGGAGTGTGTTTAAGGGTGGAGTTGTTTGTGTTTGTGAGCTTCATTGGAATTAACTTTTGGGTTGTAATATGACCTTGTTTATTCGAATCAGAGGTCCCTCTCTGAGTAAAGTAGTGTATGGTGGTAATTGAGTTGATAGCATAAACTACTAATATGGTTTAGACAGTGTTAAATCTCATTACTCTGATGCACAAAAAGCCTCTTTTCAATACTGGATTGAATGTTTGCACCTACACCTAATGCACTTTGCTTCAGTTAAGCCCCTCTTATTCAAACAAGGCATTGATATCAAGTGACAAAGGGCAGAGTTGAAGGTTCACACAAGGACAGCAGAGGACAGGTGTTCCTCTCTTCCATCTCTTGCTTTTCTCCCCTGCTTTTATACTCCCTCTTTTCTTCGCTATCAGTCTCTCTTTCCCTCGGGCGACGATTCAAAAAGGCCGTTTTCTTTCAGGTGATGTGGTCCACCTTTGTCTGTTCTAACCTTACAAAGGAATGCCTGGCATTCACCAGGCTGTGCCTACACAGGGCCGTTAAGGAGAGTGGAAAAAAAAAAAGGTGGCGATGGAAGAAGGGAAAGGAGAAGGGGAAAGCGCAGCTGAAGTTAGAGAGATAAATAGTTGAGAGGCAGGACAGGAGTGAAGAAAACAGATTAAAAAGAGGGAATGATGTGGAGAGGACCGTCGGAGAAAGGGAAAGAGAGAAAGATTTAAAGAAGGCAGCAGGCAGACAAGAGTGGAAAGTGCTATGCTCAAGCATTCAATGCTAGAGACAGAGGAGAGTTTCGTTTTTTTCACACGCTGTGGATAAAACTTGAGGCCTCTGAAACTGATATAAATTTCAACAGGGAAATTCCTCTGAGATGGGCTTATAGCTCTGCCACCGCCCTCGGCAGGCACAGGGGAGGAGAGTGTGGGCAGGGGTGATGGGAGGGCATGAGAGGGGAGGGGAGTTGGATGGATGGAGGGAGCAGGTAGAGGAGAAGATGTTTTTGGCCGGACTCCCCCTGGCTAACCTGACGCATATTGTTGCCGAGCTCAGTTTCCCCCCCAGGTAATCATTTGACACTGATAAAAGGGGGAAGGGGGGACAGTGGAGAGAAAAAGGATGGCAGTGTTTCCACCCTGGGAAAAAGCTCTCCGGAGAGATTAGAGGACAGCCGGAGTAATTCTTCCATCTGTTGGACCGAAGAGCAAGAGGGGACTGGAGAAAACGGAGAGGAAGAAAGGGAGGAACTGAGGTAGAGTTGCAGAAAGGAATAAAAGGAAGATGGTGCATTTTGAAAGGTGTTAGAAGAGTAACTTACACACACACACACACACACACACACACACACACACACGCATGCACAAATGCTTAAAGTAAAAAGGAGGAGGGGTTGCACATTTTAAGTGTTTCCACAGTAACTAGTCTACCTTTCTTGCTCTGGCACACGCACACCTAAGTGCACGGACACACTTGCAAGATGCTGCAGCATGTGTAAATAGAAGAGTGGCGACTGAATGGTATTTTACTGCTTCTGTATTTGTGGCAGGTTATTTTGCCTCTGGGTGGTCCCTGCTGAAAGACTTCGAGGGTCATTAATCATCAGTCGGGAATCAGATGTCAGGTGTGTGTGAGAAAGAGAAGAGGGGTTGGTCAGTAACCAAAGAGGGAGTGAGAGCACCTACCGTACTGTGCTGTATGGAAGAAAGAGTAAATGTACAAGTGTATGTGAGCGTGTTTGAGGTTAGCCTTGCGTACCAGTGGATATCCTAATCAGCTGAGCTGGTGGTGGGATGAAAGAATGTGAAGATTATTGCCTGGTAATTGTTTCCAGAGTGCAACAGTGCTGCTATATCTCAAACAGACGAACTTTCATTGCAGTGTGAGTACGCAAACACACATCTACGTACTGTACCGCAAGTAAAGGTTATGGGATATACATGCAGGAGCAGAACACCCAGCAATGGGAATCCGAAAGGAGCGCCAACGCATCGATTTAAAGCCAAGATACCAGATTAAGAGGCTAATGTGAGTTTTTAGTGAGCCCTAGAAACCAAGATCATTATTCCTCTTTGTGTTTAATTTACAATCTCAAAAGGTGCATAAAAAGACAGACACATTTTGCAACTGTAAGTTCCCTGGCCACTAACTCAACCAATATCGTGCCAATCTTTTGTTAAGACAACCACAATTGCACACAAACAGTAAAACAACAACACACCCAGAAATCTGTACTCAACTGATAAGCTCATCACTCTACCAGCTATTCAACAATTTAAAACTCTATTTTTCTTCTTCTTCTTCTCGTTGACAGACTTGTCTTGGTTAGCCGGCCCCGACAGGGCAATGGGAACGACCATCCTTCGTGTACACAAAGACAGACAAAGAAATGTTTGGGTTTGTTTTGTTACAGTTTTTAAAACCATTTTCCGTTTCAGCAGGCAAGAGAGCAATTTCCTTCACGGCAGGAGCAACAGAATCCCCAAACCCAAACAATCAGGTTAGA